CCTGACCCTGCAGGTGACTCATGGGTCTACATGCATGAGTTCATAATGCACATGTTCTGGCAACGTCCTCATGAGACTGGCCCTGCCATAAGCTCTTCTCTTGGCTGTTCTGTGCTCTCCCTCTTTGAGACTGGGCTCAGAAGTCACCTTCTTCAAGTGGGATGGTTTGTTTCCTCTGTGCTACCACTTACAGTTCTCAGAACAAACTCCAATCTCTTTCTGGTACCTCTTTTCAGGGCACCAGATGCTCTGTCTATGGTCTTCAGGCCACAGGTAGAGCACCCTTTATCTATTCTTCTGTAGTGTTGGTTCCCCTGCAGTCTCTGGTCCCTCTGCATAGAACACTCCTTGTGGGTCTCCTGAGAGTTTCTTTTCTTCTTCTCACATTTCCTTTGTCCCTCTCAAGGGTATAGTGGATTCTAAGGGTCTTCTTACTGTGCCCACACCAGTGGACAGCTGTTGTCCTGTGGAAGACTGTCTAAAAGACAAGCCTTGAGAATGAAGGAGCAGAGAGAGAGCATGAGGCTAGGCTCATGTGAAAATATACCAAGTGTTTGTAGCTGTGAACACAAGCAGGCTAGTTTTGTTTGTGAGCTGACAGTAGTAATGCAAGTTAGGATTCCAACCTCCCACAGACGGGCCTGGAAGCCCCCACTCTTCTGGTAATTACATTTCAGAGGAAGGATCTGGAGTGGGTCCTTGGAAAGACACTCCTGGTTTGTAGGGGACACAGTCTAAGTATCTCACAGATCAGAGAAGTCACATTTATAAACCCATTTTGTAAAAGATCCAAAACAGGGTGTTCTGGGGTCTGTCTCAGGTATAGGTAGAAACAAATAATTCTTTTGACAGTCTTGAGTTGTTCAGAAAGGAACTCAAAGGAGGGCTAATTGTCCTAGGAACAATGCCTTAGGCTGTTAACAGTCATGTTAAAGTTTAGTCAAATCTCTTAGTACAAGGGATTGAGCAGAGAGTTTGTGCCAAGAGTTTTTTCAGTTTTGAATGTCTAAAGGTCTTTCTCACTTTTTTAGTCTTTTTGCTAAATTTTTATGTCATGTGTATAATTTTGTGGAGAATATATTGCATATATTGTATATTTTATATGTATATATTGTATGTATACTATAGTATATTATATATTTTATGTAAATATATACTATATATATACAATATAGGTATTGCATATATTGCCCTTACAAGCACATCTCTACACCTCATCCTTAATGACTATGTATTTATTTACAGTTTCCATTTGTTCCCTTTGAATAAAATTTAGGGAGACACTGTTTGTGTGTGTCTTGATCTTATAATCTTGAGACTTTGCTAAAAATAGTCATTATTGTTTGTCTTCTAACACTCCTTATAAATTTTCTCTTAATTTTCTACATTAATCATGTATAACATATTTCAGTGATATTTGTTCTTTTTTGATCAATTATTATTGTTTCTTCTTGGAGAGGGAACCATCGATTTGAACTCAGGGCCTTGGGCTTACTAGAAAGTTACTCTACCAGTTGAGTCACACTTCTATCCTGATAGCTTTAGGTAATTTATCACATAAGGGGTTGCTTTTTGCCCAAGCTGCCTGCAACTGAAATGCTCCTAACTTCCCTCATGCAGTTTCTTTGAGCAGCAGTGCTTCTGTTCTCCACTTGGTAGGCTTATAGTCTGAGCTACCACACTTGGGTGTGTTTAGATCTTTTTCTTCCTATACTGGATAGACTAGCCCCAACAACAGTAAGTTGAAAATGATAGCCTAGCCTTGGATTTAAACTGAAGGAAAAGCATACATTCTTTTATCATTAAATAGCTGTTATAGGTTTTCTTTACATGTTTTTCATTAACTTGAAATAGTGCTCATCTTCCTTAGTTAACAGAAAGTTTTTATCATTCATGTATGTAGAGGTTCATGTGAATAGTGACTTTTCTGCATAAATGAATGTGAACATTTACTGTATTTTCCATTATACTTTTAATAAGTTGGTTTAAATTTGAATCATCCATTATAATGAACCAAGAGGCAGAATAGGAGGGAAATGGAAAAGGTTTAGAGTGCGCTCTACCCCTTGAGCTACACCTCCATTTTCAGATTTTTGGGGGGGTAATTGGAGAGAGACTTTTCTGCAAGGGCTGACTTTGGACCTGGATCCTTAGATGCCATCCACCTGATTATAGGCATGAGCCACCAGTGCCTGTGCAAAAGTGATAACATTGACTAAACTTACCACAAGACAGTGTTTTATTTCATTGATTGTTACTTTTCTCCTTTACATTTTATAGTTTTGTGTTCCATTACTCCATACTTTCATATTTTAGTTGTATTTGGATCTTCAATTTCAACTATTCTGGTGGATATGCTGTGAATGTTTGGGCATCTCCTATCTGGCTTTGATGGCAACACTGTGGTCCCAGTGGCATGTGTTGGATTGTGTGCTTTCTACTTACGAATTTCTTCAGCACAATATGAAGGGGGAGAACCTGCATTTTGTCTGTTTGACACTAGCAGACTACAAGGAGTAAAACTAAGAAAAACCTTAGAGTCTTCTGGCTTTTGATAAAGCCAGTGACTCAAGAGGCAGAATGAGGAAAAGGCTTTCGAATGTGTTGTAACTTTAGAATTAGAACTTAGGAGCTTATCCTTGTTAGACAAGTGCTCTGCCACTCTAGCCATAAATTGCATATTTTTTGTTAGTGATCCTTTTTATGTTGCTGCTGCTGTTGTTGTTCATATTCTGTCTTGGTGATTTTCTTGGAGTTCACACCTTCTCTCCTACCTCTGCCTTTTAAGTTGTTGGGAAAACATGTGCACCACCACACAAGGAAGAAAAAATATTCATTGACTGGAGAAGAAATGTGTAAGTGTGATCTCCTACTCAGAAATCACACTCTCTACTCAGACAACCTACTGAATCACAAATTCAGAATAAAAATAAAGAGATAGGCTAGTGAAGGAAGGAGTGCTCATGTCTTTTCTGGGCATAGGTAGAGATCTTTCAGGAACTCTCCACTTTCATTAGTTACTGAAATAATATTATTGCCCATGACCAATAATACTATTGGTAGATAATATTGGTAGATAATATAATAATAATAATAATATTGGTAGATATCTTTAGAACAAAGACTGAGGCCACAAAGGAGACAGACAAAATAAGAAGATAGAGATGTTAGTATTTCATCTTATCCACTTATTTTCTCAGACATCTTCCGGTCGAAGTGAGGACATCAGTTTTTTCTGCAAAAGCAGCCATCATGACCTAGAAACTGTTAGCCCACACCTTAACCCACACCCACGAGGGACTGTCCACAGGAAAATTTGTGAGACACTGGTGATACATCACCCAGCTGTGTGACATTTCAAAGTATTTGAAGCCAGAGGTTGTATTTAGGCATTTCCATGATAAAAAAAAAACCAGCAATTTCTCATGACTCATTACTTACATTCATTAGGAACCTCACAATCTTGCCCTCTTATGTGATATTTGTCTGTGGTTCTTACTGACAGTGAACATCTTTTAGTTTCCCAAACACTTTTATAAACATGCTTCATACAAGACCAGAAGCATTATCTTGCTATAATCTAAGATAGAAGACATTTTAAAGTTAGACAAGGCATAAAGACAGGATTTGTTATTTGGAGAGGTTGGAAAATAAACCTTTGCTCAGAGCATTCTCAGTTACTATGTATTTCATAAAATAACCTCAAAGGCCACTGTCTACTAAGAAAGTATATGTGATGTTCTCACAACTGAGAGTTCAGTAAAGAGTTTCTTAAGTCCCTACCAAAACCATGCTAAGTGGTTGTCTCTATTGAAAGCTTGGCTAGGGTAGGGAATCTGTGCATTCATTATTCCAAGTGAAGAGATTCTAAGCTCTCATTTGGACATAAAAATTTGCGTCCAGATCCCATAAAAGTACATTTTTTTAAAAGCAAACTCTACTGTCTTGATATCCAGCTCTGACATAATCCCTGCTTGCTCTGAGCCTCAGTAGAACCTATGCCTAATGATGGCCAATGATTAGATTGTGGCAGGACAATATGCAGCTGCTTGATCAGGTTCAGAAAAAATGGCCAAGGTTCCTCAATCCAGGGACTCTGAGCAATGCTACCTACTGTCTAAAACCCAGGGGAATCTCTGTCAACCCTGATTGGAAATGAAAGGACAGCCTCCAAAAGACATCACCAAGAGCATCTGGGTCACTGCCAGAGAGAATGGCATCTGCATGAATTGAGGAAAGTCCTTTTGGGGGCTGTCAGCTGAAGATGCAGCTACTTCCCTTCAGGCCAACACTTGACTTCTAGAGCCACTCAATGGGGAAGATCCTGGCTACTTGAGAACTTGTTCAGCCAAGCCCCGGGTCTGTTTAGGGCAGTGGAAAGAAACTCCTTAAGATGGCATATCAGCCTCTTTTTCAGAGAACTGGAGGACAGTAGGGATGACAGCAGCAGCAGCAGCAACAGCAGCAGCAATGTCAGACAGTAGGGAGGTTGAAAGCAAAAAACTGATTTATGAAACTTGGTGTTTGTGGATTTTGTAATGATGTGCTGTACAGACAAGGACCTCTCAAGTAGGTGAGGCCTCTTGAGAAGGTTATAAACAAGATCACAGTGAAATTCCAGTCCCTGTGCTCTCAGGAGCAGGGGTCAATCTGCATGGAAGACCTGGGTGAGCATGTGTGTACTACACATCCTGACATCTTTGCCTCCGCAACATCCTCATTCCTTGTACATTTGAGACACCAGTTCAGCTGTTCTGAAGACAACATTTCAAGGAAAATGTCTTTATTGACACTGCCATCAATGTAAAGCCCCTCCCCATGTAAAACTCCCTCCCCATCAGGGTTCACTACACCATCCCCCATTACCCCTACCATACTCCTACTTCCCTCCCCTTCTTCTAGTACCCTGACCCCTGAATTAGAACTGAGTGAGGAAGATATTTTGTTGATGGGTTGCAGAATGCATTCTAGGTGAAATCTCACTCAGGCCCCAAATGGTTTCAAGGATTTTTCTTTTTCCTCCTCTTCTTCTGAACTTCCGATGCCTCACATTTTCTATTCTGAGGCTGTGCGGGACGATTCAGTCCCAAAGCCAAGTCCTGCTTTGCAAACTCCTCAAAGTGAGACCCTGGGCAGGGCTTCTTTGCTGGGGTGCATGAGTCTCCAATGCGAGCCCTTTTCTTGGACTTGGCAAGTGGAGGGGGATCCAGGCTGTGGCCACTTCTCTTGCACAGTGAAGGCCCGGGGGCTTGGAGTCCAGAGGACAGGAGGGTGGTGGGGGACCTGGGGCTCTGAGATAGTCCCCAGGGCAGGAGACAGTACTCAGAGCCCAACAAGGAAGCCAGGCTGGGGACACCTTCCTTGCCCACCTTCCTGTCCCCTGCTCGCTTGCGTGGAGTGCCAGCAGGAGACTCTTCCATGTGATTCACGGCATCTCCAGACCCCAGTCTCTGGGGAAGGGATCCATGTTCCTGGGGACAAGCAGTGGACCAAGTGGTTCCTACTGAAGGACACCTGGGACCCCCCTGGAGAGCAGCAGCAGCAGCAGCAGCAGGTGTCAGGTGCTCTGCATCTGTGCCACCATGGCTCTGATCATCACTGCAAACGATATGCAGAGTGATGGTATCTGCACTGACTGCTTGTTGGGGGCTCTGCTCATTTCTCTCTGCACCTTGGCAGATGGCCAACTCAGAAACACTTGAGGCTACTCTGGGTGCCCCAAGACGTTTCTCCACTATCTGTTGGAGGAAATACAGAGTTACTGGCTTTGCATCTGGCTGGGAAAGGCCCACAGTAGAGGGAGCAACTGCAGGGTCACCTCTCTTGGTTGCAGACACACACACTTGTGCTCCTCAGCTCCCCACTGGGTCTCTTTGCAGCTGTGCAAGCTCAACCCCTCCCTGGCTCTCCTGGGTCCTTCCTTCTAGTCCACATCCACATCTACCTTCAGGAATAACCTCCAAACCATGACTGCCCAGAAGTCTAAGGCAGTGCTCCTTGCTTTTGGTTGTGCGGCCTTTCTTCCCCTCCTGATCTACCTGCCTCCAGTCTTTCCTGTGCCAACCTGCTCAGGGGTGAGTCCTTGTTCCTGTTCCAGCTCCTCAATTAGGGCCTCAAGATCCAGCTCTGGTTTGGAGGAAAGCAATTCTTCCAGGAATTTGGGATGAATGATGGCCTCCACCTGGAGCAGGAAGAAGAGGGTGTCAGTGTGTCTAGAAAGGAGAAATCTGTGCCAAGGGGACTTTGAGAAGACACAGAAAGGAATGACCTCCCCAACTTGGTGCTCGAGTACACTTGTTAAATACACACACACACACACACACACACACACACACACACACACACACACATGCGCACGCGCACATGGAGCTCAGCAGGTAGGGAATCAAGTTTCATTCCAAAGACCAGGGAATGTGGCAGACAGCAGGGCTGGAGATGTAGTGCACATTTGCCATGAAATCTTCCTGGGGACAGAGCTGGTCAATGTAGTTCTCAGGAGCTCTAGGTCTAAGCACATCTCATCCTCTTCCTGCTACTGTTACATTCCTCCTCCTCCTCTTCCTCCTCCTCTTTCCTTCCTCTCTTCCTCCTCCTCCTCTTCCTCCTCCTCTTTCCTTCCTCTCTTTCTCCTCCTCCTCCTCCTTGTTGTCATCATCTTCTTTCTTTCTCTTCTTCTTCTTCTTTCTTCCTCCTCCTCCTCCTCCTCCCTTCTCCTCCTCCTTTTCTTTTTCTTCTTCTCCTTCTTCTCTCCTCCTCCTCTTCCTTCTGTCTTATGCTTCATGCTTTCTCTTCTGAGGCTGTGAGGAGTCAATCAGACCAAAGCTAGGTCCTGCTGTCTAGACAAGGCTCTGGGTAGGAATTATTTGTCACAGTGCACTAGTCTCTAATGCGAGTTTGTTTCTCTGATTTGACAGGTGGAGGGGAATCCAGGCTGTGCCTTTTCTTCTTGAAAAATGAGTCTTGGTGCTTGGTTTCCAGCGCAGAGGAGGATGGTGGAGGATCCGGAGCTCTGTGACATTCCCAGGACAGGAGATGGTACTGAGAGCCCAGCAAGAAGGCCAAGCTGGAAAGACCTTTCTTGTTCACATTCCTCTCACTTGTCAGCTTGCATGGACCTCCATCAGAAGAGTCTTCTCTGAGACCCGCTGCACCTCTGGACCCCAGGCAATGAGGGTAGATTCCATGTCCATGGAGAGAACCAGAGGACAGGGTGGCTCCCAATGATGGAGACCCATGACAGCCGTGGATGACAGCAGCATTGTTAGGAGGTGTCAGCAATTCAGCACCTGTGGCACAGTGTATCTGGTGGTCACAGGAGGTTATTTTTGTGATGCAGGTATCTATGTTCTTTGTTGGGGTCCGTGGTCATCTCTATCTTCATGTTGGCAAGTGGTCAACTTAGGAGTACTTGAGGCTACTGTTGGGCGCACCAGGACTAAAGAGTATGTCAACACCTCTTTTCTCTTTTGAGACCATGAGGTGTTTCTTCACTACCTGTTGGACGAAATGAAATGAGTAGTTACTGGCTTTGCATCCTGCAGGAGGAGGGCTGAGGGGAAGGAACAACTGGAGGTGTCACCTCGTGACATAGACTTGTGATTGCCCTCCTCCTCCCTTGCTGAGTATCTCTCCAGCTACTTTCTGGCTATCCTGTCCCTTTCTTTCTTGTCCACTTCCACATCTACTATCAGGAGTAACCTCAAAGTCCATGACTCCCCAGAAGCATGGGGCTATGTTCTCTCACTCCCTGGTGTACTGCTGTTATTCCTCTTCCTGATATACCTGGGGACACTCTTTGCTCTGCTTACCTGGGGAGGGGTAAGTCTTTCTTCCTACTCTAGCTCCTCACTTAGGTCTAAGATACTCATGTCTGATTTTGAGGAAAGCAATCGTTCCATAAATCTGGTATGTATGATGGCCTCCACCTGGGACAAAAAGGAAGAAAAGTTGTGAATGTGTACAGAAAGGAGCAACCTGTGCCAAGGGGATTTTAAGAAGAAATAGGAAGGAATGACTTCCCAAAGTTGGTCTACAAGGACTCTTGTTAAATCCTCTCTCTTTCTCTCTCTCTCTGCTAAAGAATGAAGCTTAACTCCAAGGGCCAGGAAATTGGCAGATACCAGGGCCAGGGATGTAGCCCACATCTGCCATGAAATCCTCCTGGAAGCAGAGCTGGTCAATGTAGCTCAGGAAGTCTGGGTCTGAGCAGATATCATAGTCATCCTGCTGTTGCTCCACTCCTTCCCCTTTGCATGTTTCCTCAGACTCCTCAGTGGACGATTTTGGAAGGTCCTCCAGCCAGTCCATGATGGCTATGTTCTCCTCCACAGTTTCAGGGGGGAATCTCTCAGGTGCCTTGGTCTCTGGTGGCCTCTGGGTGCTAGCCAGGCTGAGCTTTCAGATCAGTCTTGCTGGAGTTGCACTCTAGGAAAAAGGAAAACAAGACAATGTACAGATGGGGGAACCTAGGTTCTTATCCACTGCTAAGGAGAGCAGAGTTCAGGAGAGCTGCCCTGACATAGGAGACTCTACAAGATGTGGAACATATAAGGTAGCCCTGTAGGACAACGTTTAGAGACACTGATATTTCAGGTGCTCTCAACACCCAGACTCTGGGTCCTAGGAGAGGCAAGTGAGGAGAGGAGTTACTGCTGTAGCCAGAATAATACCCAGCTCAAGGCCAAGGGCTATGGAAGCCGAGGCTCTAGTGAGTGTTCTGCTTGTAGCACCATATGTCCCATCCTGAAGGCCAGGTCTAAGGATATGGGATATGCCCTTCCTCAACTCATCCTTGGCCTCCCATTGTCATTGGGCTCCATGGTGAGGATGCTCTACCTGGCTACTGGATATTTCCAAGGAATGGAAGCCTTGAGGATTCTGGCTTCAGGGATGGTAGTGGAAGCTCTCTCTGAAATTGCATCAGTAGTACCTTGGATTCTCTTCTGAGCCTCAAACTCCATGAATCTGGGAATGCAGGAAGCACAGAGGAAGGTGAGGAGAAAGAGGCCAGTTCTATCCCCAGACCAGTCATGGAGAGATGCCTGTGATGTTGAGCAGGACTCTGAAGTGGGCTTGTCGTGTCTCAAGAGGTTGCTCATCTAGAACAGAACCACAAATGTGAGACCACCACATGTCTCTTAAGACTTACAGGAAATCAAGCCAGGTCCAGGTGACAGGAAGAATCCTTTGTGGCACCTTTGTAGACTATCTTTCCCCTCTCCATACTCAAAAGGAGAGCTGACTTTCAGAAGCTTGTTAGGGATATGATTGGTAGTAGAGAACGTAGGGGTCTTAGATGAGATTCAGGGATCCTGGGAATATAAAGCCTAGACTGATGATCTGAGCAACAGGGTCCAGGGGAGGTCGAGGCAAAGTGACACTCAAGCTGAAAGGATTGGCTCACTTCCTCATGTGAGGGCTAGTTTATTTTGCTGTTAGTTGGTTTGGTTGGTTGGTTGCTTGCTTGCTTAGGTGAAAGGAAAGAAGAAAATCAGTAAGAGTAGAGGTCTGACCTTCTATATACTTCAGGGATATTAGGTTAAAAGTGTGCTATTTTCATGAGCATAGGTGGTCTCCACAAGGTCAAGAGCTACCAGCTTCTGGAGAGGTGTGCATCATATGGCTAGAGAAACATTTTTCCTTTGCACAGCTCTCGATTTTGGAGGTGACCTCTTGTTGGATGATTACTCCTTCCCAACTGACATACCACCTCCTGGCAAGGGTGGACCAGACATGATTGAGGCAGGAGTTTGTAAGGACCCCACCCAGAGCCTGGCCTGCACTCCAGGTAGACTGTGCCACTTCCTGGCCAGAAAGGTATTGAGTATAGAGGGCTCTGTTCTTGTCCATGTCCTCCTGTCAGTGGGAGCCATAAGCCCCACAAGGCCCATGTGTGCAAGTTCTATCCTCCTCCATCACATAGCCCCTGGTCCTCTTGGCCACCATCTCATGGTAGTTCATGCACTCATAGTTGCTTATGCATTCCCATTCCTGAAGGCTTTCTCCACAGGGCCTTGTCCAGGGACATGGTGGGCTTGAGTTGGGTTAGGGACTGAAACACTGGGATGGAATTCATCAGAATTAGTCGCAGTCCATAAGTGTCCCTCAATTCCCAGCTGATCCAATTCAATACAGGCCTTTCTTCTCATTTCCCAATGTCACCAACCAGCTACAGAACATCAACCTCAAGAGGAGCATTGGACTCCCTGATGTTCCTGTTATTGTGGATCATAACCCAGGTAATGAGTTCCAAGCCTTAATCCCAACAGGGAAGCTATTGGGAGAAGCAGCTTGGGGCTCAGCCAGTGATGGAGCCAGTAGAGCTCCTTTCTACACAGAGGAAGAGGAAACATGTCCCTCACTCATGTGAGGACCCAGGCTAGGCAGGTACAGGGAGAACTCTCACCAGACACAGCAACTGCTGGTCTCTGAATCTGGGCATCCCAGGCTGCAGAACTGTGAGCAAGGAATGTTTGTGGTCTCAACCACTTCCAGCAGCTTGCACGATGTTTTCAGCTGAGTGGTACTTACACAAAATACTCTTAGATCTAAGTCCAATTGTGGCTTACATTGCACCAGGAGCTCTGTGTGATCTTTTATCCTTTGTATGATGCTTATAATTCTCGAAAATTAAGGTTGGCTGCACTCACAGAGGCACATGGGCTACTAAAATAAGGCACTTTTCATGCTGTGGTGTGACATTACTTGTTTGAGTGTGTGATTTTTTTCTGCAGGTGCCATCAGCCACAGGACTTCCCTGGCCCTTGTGATCCCCACACAGGAGCTCCAGGCGTAGCTCCTGGTTCTTAAGCGGGGGCACTCATATGAGGAAGCAGGCAAGTGCTTCCACATTAGAGTGTGTGGAAGGTTGCTCTGGACCAAGGTCTTGAAGCACTGCCAGCTCTGGAAGTTCTGATAGACACTGTTAGATCTGCAGATGCTCTTACCAGGTGGAGGCTTGGCCTGGGGTGTGAGCAGATTGTCCTCTGCCTCAGGGCCTAGGTGGCCATAATCCCTGGTTTACTGAAGTAATGTTGGAAGCATGTGGTATTGTTCAAGGGAGGAGGCCCATGACCAGTTCTCTTGGGCATCCTGGCTACCCTCACTAGTGAGTATAGTCACTATAGCATTCATGGCAGTACCTGGCAAGAGTAGTGGAGCAGGACACACTGAGCAGGACACCCTTGGAGCTTTCAAACTGAGAGATGCCTTAATAAGAACAATGTTCTGATTGTGTGTGGGACACTGCTGGTCTTTTTCCTTGCTCTGTTTGCACAATATTGTTAGAAGTTAACTGCCCCACTTGAGTTACAGCTTCTATCTCCTGATACTAAAGGTGTCCTGGAGTAAGCAAGCAGCACCAGAGGGCTCCCCAGGAATGCTGCAGCCATCAGTGGTAGTGTAGGCTGCTTCCCCAGTGACCTATGTGCAGGTATGTTAACGGGGAGATCTCTGGATGGAGATGTGGAAGCACCAGGGTTCAGGATCATGGATGAGCATGGCACTGGCTCTGATGTGAAGAGAAAGAACAGGTGTTTATTGTGTGAGAAAAACTGTCTTTTCTATCACAGTAGGTTTCTCCCTTTCTGTCAATCTTGTGAGAATTGTTTTTCTGAAAAGTTCCTGCTGTGGCCAGCTGGTTTGACCCTTGTTTATATTTTAGTTACATCCCTTTCCTGCTACACTTTAAGACATCACATTATAATCTCATTAAAGTCTATTACATCTTGTTAGTTAAGCCACATCTTTTTGCAAGTTGTGAACTTGAGCTCAGCCAGTCTAAGCAGAGGGGCAGGACCTGCTGGGTTAGCCATTTTAAAAAAAGGTAGCTGCCTGCCTGATCTGTGTGCTTTCTTGTCAGATTTTTGGCTGATGGGACACCCTTCTGCAGAAGTAAACTTTACCTTGTTGTGCTATTTTTCCGTTGGTGTCCTTTTTCTTTGCAACACCCCAGCATCCCAAGTCACATCAGCAGGGCACTCTAAGGACAAGCTATGAGACCAGGAAAGGGTTAAGAGGTTAGAATGCCACCTCATCAATACTCAGAAGGCTGAGAACTGGACCCTGAATGGTCAAACAGACAAAGCAAAACAACTGTGCAAGTTACTGTTACATGGACCCATTATTGTCTAAGTTAAAGCTGTCTAGACCCTATAGCACTTGAGACCTTGGGAATAAGATGAATGTTTATGTTATGGTTAAATGTTTACCACTTCCCTTTCCCTAACAATAAGGGAGTCAGTTATCATATATATACAAACTGTATCTCATGTTAGTGATTATAACTACAGGATATATTGATACCCTGTTTTCTGCACATACTTGTAGTGACCTTCCCTGTACTGAACTAAATAAATAAGCTTGCTTACTTTAGCTCAGGGTTCAGAAACCTGTGAGCCCCCTGATTCTCATTTCTTTGGCTGTCCCAGGTTGTGGGTAGCAATATGGGGTTCATCTGGGATCTTTCGTGTCACCTGAGGAAATCCTGGCAGCACATCCTTAGGAGGAGATACTTCCTGCTGCCCTGTTGTGGCAGCCTCCAGGTTGGGCTAAAGCATCATTTCCTTGAAACTGAAAAGGGATTCAGAATGAAAGGTAAATGGATATCACAATCAAGAAGCCCAGATTAAAACTGCGGTGACTAGATAACTTTGTGTACAGACCAAGGCAGGAAAAATTGGGTCTATATCTATTGCCTTGGTGGTTGGGTATTTTTGGTATTGTGTGTGTGTGAGAGACTAAACTGTGTCCTAGAAACAGCAGAGTTCTGATCCATGTTTTTGTACACTCACTAGGGAAGACTGAAACTTAAACTGACAGTGGAAACTATCTCTGGGTGTTAAAGAAACCTCCAGTTAGGGGGTTGAGGACAATAGAGTTGCACAAGAAATCTTCAATAAGTGGGTAGAGTGCACAGGAAAACTTAGTTATACTGCTATACTTAGTTATCTTTCTATACTTTAATTAAGACATCACATTATAATCCCATTAAACTCTAGTTACATCCTGTTTATTAAGCCACATCCCTTTGTAAGTTGTGAACCTGAGTTCAGCCAATCCAAGCAGAGGGCAGGGCCTGCTGGTTTAGCCATTTAAAAAAAGTAGCTGCCTGCCTGCTGAAAATGGGAAATGTGAATTCTAGGCGTAGGGAAATAAAATTGAAGAGCCAAAGTAATTCCAATTTGAGATTAACCCCAACATCTTATGCTAGGCTGCTCTCAGAGTAACCCCAAGAGAGAAAAACAAAAATCACAGGTTGCCACCAACCCTGCCCACCCTTAAGAAACAGAACAGTTGCCCAAGTGTCCAGGAACAGAACATACTGATAGTTCAGAAAAAGGGCAATGCGGTTAGGGTAGACTCAAACCAATCATGTAACTGCTTGTGTGGAAATCCCCTGAACTTGTTTGTTCAATATTATAAAAGCTGTGCTGATTTTGTGCTCAGGGCCTCTCAGCGTCACCAGTTGTTTGCTGTGTGCGCAGAGGACCAAGCTAGCTCTCAATAAACACCTCGCTGTTGATTACATCGATCTGGTCTCTGGTGGTCTTTTTGGGGTCCCGAACTTGAGCATTTCAGAAAAGCAGGAGTTAGGAGACTTCCTTGGACATTCCCTCATTAGTCCATTGGGGAGAATGTTAAAAAAGTTCAGGGGCTGGGAAGGTGGCTCAGTGGTAGAGCACTTGTCTTGCATGCATGAGGCCCTGGGTTTGATTCCTCAGCACCACATAAGCAAAAAGAAAAAAGC